TCCCCTTATCAATACATATAGAAGTATATATTAGATGAAGTATGAAAATGGAATACGTGGGTCCGCTTTGTCTGGTACCTCGCTCATATTTCTACATTTTCCAAAATTGTGCACATAGCTCGTATAAAGTATAGGATGTGGACGATAATAGTCCGAATCTGGCACGTTGTAATATTTCTATCAGTTTAAGGTCATATACGAATTGGCCAATATTGAACCCCCCCCAAAACGGGTCAACGTCGTGAATAATCATAACTCAATGCTGGGGGTATACATCTGTCGGCAAAACCTACTGATACTTTTTTTCTTGTTATTTTACCACTAAAAAAATGTACTGTACAAAATATTACATCACTTTAACGATATATTGTCCACATTGGCCTTCCCCGTTAACGGTTCAAAATTCAAATAGTTGAGAAAGTTTGTTCCTTTTACGATTTTATGATTGTGTTTTGTTCCTCACATGAATTTTCGTACTATTGTCTACAGTAAATACATGTTTGTGTGCCTACATACAGACACACTTTTAAAACTGATGCAATGTCCACACAGAATTCCAATAACGTCTTGTCTTAAACATTAAGGTGATTCACACGGCAATCAAACATAAAAAAACACAAAGAAAAAAGTTTGTTAAACTCTTTTAAGAAAGCGTTAAATATTTCCTCCAACACCAATCACCACCAAGTCGAGTGGAATTTTCATTAAAACGATTCTTGGGAAAAGATTAAACACCTTTAATGGCATTATTCGGTCAGAACTCTTTTGCCATTATTAATTATTATACCTATGTCTGGGCACATTATCGTTAAACATGTAAAGTATATTACAAAAGCAACAACAATAAGTAAAAATTAAATATAAGACGCCGGTTGATTTTCACTTATCAGTTTGAAAAGAAAAAAAAAATGCATGCATCTTCTTATTGTTGTTGTTTTTGTTGCTGTTGTTATTGCAGAATATTATTTATATTATGGAATTATTTTAATGTATTTCAAATTGTTTATTTATAATATAGTGTGTAACAAAAACACAAACAAACATACACTGCGCTGCATCCATAGGTACAGCTTGCCGTGCACAAGCAAAGAAACAACAACAAAAAAGAGGATCAAAGTACGTGATAATACTGATCGATCGAATCGAACTGAGGAGCAATGGACCAGCCGAAACAGAGATTATCAAAAATGCCATACCGTATTATTTTGTACTGTAGGCTTTTTTGTATTTGCACAGTGGGCGCAAGGAAATGCGGTTTGTGGTGTATTGTAGGCCAAGATACATCCTTGATTGGAATGTCTACGCAAATTGAAACTAAACAAGATCACGGAGAAAAAAATACGAGACAATGAAATGTCAGAATGCTTGGAGACACAATTAATCGAGGATTTATTCTTTTTCTGGTTTTGGTATTTTGACGCCGTTTATAAAGTTCTGCTGCTAAAACTAAAAACGTTCCAGGTGATCATTATAATGTGTTTAGATACAACATTTTATTCCGTTTAACTCACATCATCAAGATTTATTGGTAGATAAATACAGGTAGACGCATCGCACAGGTGATGGGGCAATGAACTGTCAAACAAAATTTTTGAAAAACGATTATTATAATAACCTCCGAATGACATCGTATAAGAAAACATATAAGAATCTACTTAAATTTGAAAACAAATTTAACATTTGTTGACATATCAATATTAACAAGCTTTGTTGCATCTACCTGCATTCTTCACAGCGAGCCCTATTATCAATTTACTTTAATAAAAAGTGTTGTTTGTTTGTTGTGTGTATGGTAGAATAAAGAAGGTAAAGTCATGCAAACATATGTTTACATTTTTTCAACATCTCATATATGTTTATAAATCCATTGTAAGTACACAAATCAGAGATGAAAACCTAGTTTTTAAGCAGTGAAATTTGACAAGGTAAATTACAAAAAAAATCAGAAATGGGAATACTTATTTGAAATGACTTTACCTTCTTAATTTTACTATGTCATCATGTAATTTTACAAAGTCATCCATAAAGTATTAAAGTAATAATTAATTAAATTAAAACCAACGGAAATAAAAACATATGCATGTGTGTGATAGCAAGAATTATGATTCATATGTAAAATGAAAATTTTGCCACACACACGGAAGTACACATGTATAATAAAAGTAATGTAAAACCCTTATCATCTGATAGCAGCTTCAGGCATATATTTTTAGATTATATAGGTTATATTCATGGTACAATAAAACAAGGTAACCTCAAATATAATAATAAATTAGTGTAAATATCTTGCCAGCTGTATGTCCATATTTAAGGAAAAACTACAAAATAAATGAAGGAACATCAATAAAACGAAATTGTAATCCTTTGATGGCATGACATTTATTACCATTGTAATTGTACCATGTTGTGATCTCCGTACTTGTCTTAGCATGAAGAAAATAATAATTGTATTCAAAATTCTACCATTATATAATCAAGTCTCACTTGTGGGACTAATATGTTAATTTTATGTTTTAAAGCCTCAAAAATGATAAAATATTTGGTCGTATATAAATGTCAATGTTTCTACGTCCATATTTAAGGAACAACTACAGTGAAGGGACATGAAATAAAAAATTAACCTATGAAAATTAGTTTTAATTTCTTGCCAGCTGTACGCACATATTTAAGGAAGAACTACAAAATAAAAATTTGACAATGAAGGGACATCAAATAATGAAATTGTAATCGTATGATTGCATGAAATTACCTTTGCAATTGCACCATTGGCACGATATTGTCAACTGTACTATCATACAGCAGCAATAAAAAAATAATCCGTGATTGCATGAGCTTACCTTTTTAATTGTATCGTGGAGACATGATAGAATTCGAATATTGAACTAGTAGTGGCGATTAATATATTTATACACAGGGTGAGATGAAAAAACTGCAACCAAATTCAGACTGCTGTCATTTCTAGGCGACTGGTCCGACAGCGGTTAAAATTATTCCTGTGACACCTCATTCTATTGCTTACAAGTGTACAAAAGCATTGTGGTGAGAATTTTCCGGAAAAAAGTTATAAATTCGTGATGGAATTCAAGCGTGATAGTGTGATTTCTTTTTGGCTGGAAAACCACAAGTGGCTATCGTTAGAGCAATCCAGCATTTAAATGTGAATAAGTCTTTAGTGTCACGTACCATCGCTCATTACTGTGAGACTGGTAGCGTAGCCCGACGTCAAGGAAGTGTACATCAGCAAAAATGGTTCGAAAAGTAAAAAAGCGACTGGATTAAAACCCGCGTCGCAGTGGTCGAGAAATGCCTCGTGAGCTGAACATATCGCAATATTATATTCGGCAAACATTGAAAAATGAGTTCGGGGTGAAGCCATTGAAATTCCAAAAAGTGCAAGAACTTACACCGCAACAGAAAGAAAATAGACTCAAAAGAGCTAAAGAGTTGCTTCGCTTGGCCGAAAGTGGTGAACAGCCGAATTTGGTTTTCTCCGATGACAAAACATTCGTTGTCCAGCAGTTTGTAACAAACAAAATGTGTTTAACAAACAAAACGTGTTTACTTGCCAAAGCGGTCTGCTGAAAATGAGCACCTTCGGTTGGCCACCAGAACTCAAGCGCAGGCCATGGTGATGGTGTGGACCGCCATAACAGCCGATGGTCGCTCTCCGCTCGTATTAATCGACCGTTGAATCAGGAATAAATGACGAATATTATCGCGAAAATATTCTGGAGGGTGTATTAAAGCCTTGGGCACGTACACATTTTGGCCGCAGACCTTGAACATTCCAACAGGACTCAGCACCATCGCACTAAGCACATGCCACCCAAGAATGGTTACATAATGAGGTCCCTCGCTTCATTTCCAGCGCACAATGGCCACCTAAAGCTCCGGATATCAATCCGTTGGACTATTGTGTCTGGAGTATTTTGGAAAGCAAGGTTGGCACTAAAAAATACTAAAAAGTCGATCACGTCAAGCAAGCGCTTTGCCGGGAATGGACCAAAATACCGCAGAGCAACGTTCGGGCAGCGTGTGACGGTTTCATTGGCCGTGTGAAGGCCATAATTTGTGCCAAAGGAGACCAATTCGAAAAAATCTGAACTTATTCTAAAAACTGATGCTATTTCCGACATTTTTTGCGTTCATTCAATAAAATTAAAAAAAAATGTATAAATTATGACTTTTGACTTGGTTGCAGTTTTTTTATCTCACCCTGTAGCTGTGAAGAATTTATTTAGAACAAAGGTGAGAATATATACAACGCTTCTTTGACCGGCTTAAGTCATCGGCTGTATAAATTATGACTTTTGACTTGGTTGCAGTTTTTTTATCTCACCCTGTAGCTGTGAAGAATTTATTTAGAACAAAGGTGAGAATATATACAACGCTTCTTTGACTGGCTTAAGTCATCGGCTGTATAAATTATGACTTTTGACTTGGTTGCAGTTTTTTTATCTCACCCTGTAGCTGTGAAGAATTTATTTAGAACAAAGGTGAGAATACCTACAACGCTTCTTTGACTGGCTTAAGTCATCGGCTGGCTTCTTTGGAAAGAACAAAACAGCGTGGGGCCAAAATCGAACTAAGTCAACCTAAAGAGTTCTTTCTTCTCATTCTCATCTTAAAGCTTACTTTACACGGCATGTGTAAAAGTAGGACCAAAATCGAACTAAGTCAACCTAAAACTTTGTTTCTCTACGATGAAGACAACTGATGGCCTAAGCCAGTCAAAAAAGCGTTTAATGTATTCTCATCTTAATGCTTGGTTTACACGGCATGTGTAAAACGCGTAATTTTGCTGTCAATGCAAAAAACTTGTTAAAATAAACCTTATTCGATTTCTTTTCCTTATTTGATTTCTTGTCCTTATTCGATTTCTTTTCAACTACTGTACCCGGATTACGGTCCATCAAATTGCAATACGACCAGAGTATGGACACGATTTTTAAATGCAACACATTTTAAGAGCAATATAATAGAAGCATTAATAACACCACCACAACAACAGCAACACCAAAAACGATAATAAATTTGAAATGAAATCGAAAACGAAGATTCATCCCGATCTGGATTGACAACCAGAAAAAAGACGTGCACAGATAGCGAGTAAAGTCAATATTGCACGTTTACTTCTGATGATTTGAGGACTGAGCTCACCGAACGATGATAATATTTTTCACTTTGCAACGGAGATCAATCGAACGCGAACCGTACTAAAGATCTGACGAAACGAACGAGCGCGAGTGATAATACGGACTTGGTGTAAATCGAGTTTAATTGAAACCAACGTTTTTTTACAAAGAATCGAAAAAAGAACTATTGCGAATTAAACAATTTCACTACGAGAAACGAATATTGTAAAATAAGGTCCATAGAACAATAACAATTTAAAATATTAACAGAATTTAAAAAAAAATCGGAAGTGCTTAAACATGACCCAAGACTTTCAATCGAAACAGGACTATGCCCGACAACTACGTTATGCGCGATCAAAATTCCGACGCATTAATTCATTGGATTTAATACCGGAAAATCCGAGTCAAGAGGAATCCAACGATGACGAGGACAGTGTGGCCATACAGTCGCCCACACTTTTAAGTCGCTCGAATACCGGCATCAACCAAAAACTTTTACCCAAACAACAAGAGCAACAACAAAACCAGGCACAACATACCGCCGCCAGTCCACAAACATTGATGGGACGTTTCCAAAAATTCTTATGGTTCTGGCCAAATCTTCTTGTGAATATGGTCCTTATATTGTTACGTTACCTACTCTACATCCCCTTGTCCATAGCTGCTCCCAGTTTCTGGCTATCCGCCTTGTTATGGGTATTTTGGAAAATCATAAGAATACCAGTGGAATTTTTCAAATGGGTTTGGAATCTGGATAACGGCAGCAATGCGGCCCAAGGAACGGGCGGTATGCAACAGGGCGCAGGAGTACCCAAACGTACCGTACTCATTAGCTGTGGCAGTACCATACAAACTCTGCACTTGGCCAGAAATTTATATTCTTCATCGGGCGCCAGAGTTGTGGTCTTTGAATTTGAAGGACACTTTGGTTTGGCCCGCTTTTCGGCAGCCGTTGATAAATTTTACACCGTACCCAAGCCCACGCCACAAAATGTCGACAGCTACATTACGGCCTTGTGTCACATTGTACGCAAAGAAAAGCCTTCGGTTTATATACCCGTGTGTGCCACAAGTCCGGCATATTATGATTCAGTGGCCAAGCCCCATTTGGAGTTATTGGGCTGTGCCACATTTATGACCGGGGTACAGGAAACCCTCATACTGGACGATTGTTTGCAGTTCTATCAGAGATGTGCCTCACAAAATATAGCTGTGCCACCCTATGTTGCCCTATCGGCGGCCCATGAACTTTGGGAGCTATACGAGGAGGGTTTCATCAGTCAATTTCGCCATATCCTATTGGCAGTATGCATGCAAGGTGTTTTGGAGAGATTCAAGTATATGCTGCCTCGCCAGTGGCGTGATCTGCGTTTTACCCATGAAATCAATGAACGCCAAAAATGGTTGGTTGTGCGCGATGTACCCGGTGAACATTTTGTCACCTGCACCACCATTAAATCCAGCCAAGTGGCGGCCAATGTTAGCTGTCGCGTGGACAGTGATACCAAAAATCTAATACCAGCCACTGCCACAGATGCGGAACTCATAGATTCGTGGCTGAAGACATTCTTTGGCAAAGTTCGTTTTCAACGACCCATCAACTGTCACATCAGTTTGCGCCTCATCAAATGTCAATCTACCGGGCAATTTTTACCCCTGGGCATACGTTTGGGTGTCTCGCTGCCGTACATATGCCACAATCGATCACATGCCCAAATCTTGTGTCGCACCATGAAATGTGTCCATATGAGACCATTAAATTTCAGCACAGCACCAGAAGAGGATGAAAGTACGACAGCTTCCGCTTCCTCGCTGGCATATTTTGGCGCCCAATGGTCTTCGGAATCGGTGGCATTGGACAAACGTGAAGCGTTGTTTGCCTATTGGGATCCCTTGCCCTATTGTGCCTATTATCATTTTCAATTGCCATTGGAATCGGTTAAGAGCTTTCTCCAGAGACGTCGTAAGACAACACCCAAAGTTGTAACACCTGGCCATCTCTCAACGTCGTTACATTGAAGACAAGCGTTGTGGTTTTTTGAATTAGAAGAAGAAGAAGAACCAAATGGTCTTTTTTGGAAATAATGTAACGTAAGATTATGATCATGATGATGCTTGTTTACTCGCTCAAAGTAGGTAGTGTAAATAGGGTTTTGTTGTGGTGTCTCCCTCTCCGTAGTTTTCCACTACCAAATTGGTTAATGAAAAGAAATATCTTTTTGAGTTATGCCATGTTCAGACGAAGATTATCTATGTTTATGTTATGTCTTGTCAAAAACGCTGTGAGACAAAAAAGTGGGAAAGGAAGCTCAAAGTGACTTAGCATGTCCCAAGAATTCACTCGGCCACAAGATGTAGCCGTGGTAAAATTAAGAAAGTAAAATCAGTTCAGATAAGACTTTTCATCCCTGCATTTTCTATAACGTACCTTGTCAAAATTTATTGAATAAACAACAGGTTCCCATGCCTGATTTCTGTGTATACAATGGATTTATAAATGTAAAGTTTGACAATGAGATGAGATGAGAAAAATTATAAACATATGATTGCATGACTTTACCTTCTTAATTCTACCATGGATGTAGTTTTTTCTTTCTATATATTTATTAAATATTTTTATAGATTGGTACTTAGTCCAATATAGATCACAATTAATTTGACATAAAGCATATGAAAACATTCGTCAAATAGGTAAATAAATTATAACGGTAAATGGATCTAGTGTAAACGTCTGGAGTTTCACAAACAAAATCGTTGAAATTGAAATGTCAATCAATTGAAAATATCAATTTATTTTGACAATTGAAATTATCAATTTATTTTGACAATCGAAATGATGTGGTTTATGAAATTATAGTCTGTAAGCATGTTTACATGTAATAAGTCCAGCGTATTTTAATTGTCAATTTTATTGCATATACGTCACATGTCAAATCTAGTGGATTCTTTGACGTTTAAATTTATTGGATTTACAATATGCCAAGAGCGTTTATTACAAATAAACAACGTGTATACATAAACACGTGTTTTCTATAACCAATGTGTCATGTGATAAATGTCATATGTTTGACGTAAAATTCATGAAATTGACAATCTAAACAGTGCATTGTTTTTAATACTTTCGGTGTAAATAAGGCTTAGGGTAATAATAAGTAAACAGCATGAAGTCTTCGCATGACATATTTTGTGACATATCATAGCGGGATGCCAAAGCAACGAGAATGCTGCCGTCGTTACATTTTTTAATAACAATTTTTACAAACTTGAATAATTTTTTATTCAAAGTTTTCTATTTCAAAATTGCTGGTTGCAAATGATTGCAAGAAGAGATTTGTCCGCCAACTTTCAAAATGTCTCTACAGATATTTTCGATTAACAGAAAACTTCCAGTAACAATTTTCAATAATTGTTACAAATTTTAAGGAATCCAGACACACCTATTATTTACAATTTCCATTTAATTTGTTTAATTGCATTTTCCGTCTCTGGAAACCAACATATTATATTTAATTAATATTTATATTTGTCCTGTCAATTATTTAAACTACCTACGTTCAGACACCAAAATTGCGCTCTTTGCAAGTTTCGGAACATAGAATTACTTCCCTAGCGAGTTTCTTAAGGTGGAAATACATAAAGCACTTATTTGGCTGGCTTAAGTCATCGACTGGCTTCTTCGTAGAGGAACAAAAGAGTTTTAGGTTGACTTAGTTCGATTTTGGCCCTAGGCTCCTTTGCTCATTTCGGAATAAGCCAGCCATATAAGCGCTTTATGTATTCCCACCATTAGGGTGGGGGGCATAAGCAGCTTGTCATCTTGGCTAGGCATATTAATATCAAATTATAGGGGTAAACGACGGCAATACATGAGGCGGCTCTAACATCCCTTTATTATATGTCACAAATTTTACCAGGCCGAGATGCCAAGCTGCTTATGTATTATTTCTCACTATGTTTTGACCATGCTAGAATAAAGAAGGCAAAGTCTTGCAATCATGTGTTCACATTTTTTTTAAAATTATTCATTTGACAACATCTTATTGTCAAAACTTATATTTACAAATCTTTTGTATACATACATGTCAGAGATGGGAACCTGTTTTCTTTGCAGTAAAATTTGACAAGGTAAATTACAGAAAATGCAGAGATGGATATGCTTATTTGAAATGACTTTACCTTCGTAATTTTACCATGTTTTTGACCTAGCCGCCTCTAAATATGCCAAAAATGTTGGTTTAATTTTGTAATATAAGATAATTGCAGGGTAAAATCCGCTTTTGTAGCCACATTGTGGTCTATTCTTAGTAGAACGGAGTTTTTGGAGGTGTTAACACTATTCTCTAGAAATACAAACTTTCCATCTCAGTGTAAGAAATGACCATTTTAATTAATAATAAGTTATTTTTCAATATTTTCTCGCAATGTCTTTAGACCAGCACTCCTCAAAACCGCGTGCCAGCACATAAGTCCAAAAAAGAGACAAAATAAAAAATATATATATTTTCTTTACATTTATCCATGTTTTTTGACACGAATCAAAGACTGGTTTGGGCTTGATTTTAGATGGTAATTTTGTTTCGCAGCAGACTTGTTAAAAGTAAATAATAAGCATCCATAATTCTCAGACTTTAAAACTTTCCATCCCCGACCATCATCATGAGTGATGAAAAATAACAGTAATTTGAAAAGAGTGCTTCAAAAAGAAAATCCAATTTAAGTGGGAGACAAAGATCAATGGAGTGGGCGAGAGAGAGACACCAACTACAAAGATAATACGCGAGGATGACACGCACAGTGAGAGAGAATTATACAGACTGATATTTGTTTTGATTGTTTTTGCATTTTGTTGTTGCCAATATGGTCGGTCGTTGTGACATTACAGAAAACTACTTGTAAGCAAACGAACAGCCCTCGTCCTACGCCGCAATAACAATATACTTACATATGTGTGTGTGTGGGTGGATGTAGGTGATGATTAAGTGATTAAACGATTATTTTTTTTGATTAAGTTAAACTATTGTTAAGTTAGTTTTAAGTTAATATTATCTATTTTATTTACGCACCAAATAAATCTGTTCATTTTAAAGAATACTCCTTTGTTTCTGCTCTGTGTTTTATTTAAACTTTCTCTTAACTTGATTAAACATATTTTTTAATTAAAAAAGAAAAGTTTACACTTGTATGCAAACGCCAGGACAACTTGGTTACAACTGAGTCAATTGGCTCAACTTTAAGCCCGTGTTGGCCATAACAAAGAAGAGGGTGTTTTTTTTTTTGTTTAAGGTGGAGACCAGTTCTATGTTACACACATACATACGTATATATGTGTTTACATTTCAGGACCTTATTGTGGTTGATCTATAGTTTTGTTTTCATTTTCAAATAAAAATGCACGTGTAAAATATATGTGGTAGACTTGTGTGCGTGTGTGTGAGTAATGCGTTATCATGGCAACGTGATAAGGACTGACAATGGCTACACAAATGAGACGGGTTGGTACCTTAAAGGACTTAAAAAATGTATTGCTCAACACTTGTCATTAATTAATTTGTTGCTCATCCATTATTTGTTGTTCACACCAGAGCTCTCTTTCTTTAGGTAGTTCACGTTCAAGGTGATATTCCCATAAAGGCATTAAACCAAGCTTGTGTTAAATTAAAGCCTACATTATCTCAAATATTGCAATATTTTGCAAAATAATATACACATGTACGTATTTATGTATGTACATCGTATGTCTACTTGTAGGTATTTATTGTCAACATTTATTAACCTTGATTGTCTTGAGTTTTTGTTTGTTTTGTCTATTAATAAAACTTATCAAGATAGTGAAGTGTCTGAATCATGTCTGAATATAAATGCCTAGGTAAATAGGTTTGATATGTTGAACATTTTGTTGCTAAGCTCAAAGAAAAACATTATTAGGGTTTTTAGGGTCTATTCAAAGCTGTGAAATGTTTTTCCCATGGTAGAATTAAGAAGGTAACCTAGTGCAGTCATTTTTTTAATTTTCAAAAATAATACCATTGACAAAATATATGATCATAAATTGACTATATATACACAAAGGTATGATTACAAATGTAATCATACATTTACAATTAGTTTTATTTGACGTCCCATCATTGTCAAATTTAGATTTTGATGTTCTTCCTTAGATATGAACGTACAACTGGCAAAAAAATTATAAAAAAAATTATTCATAAAAAAACAAATATTTTGCAAATTTTAACGACATTTATATCCTCCATCATCATCATAATCTAAACCAGAAAATTAACATGTTAGCCCCATAAAAAATATAAGACTTTAAATGGGTAGATTGGGTTGTCTTCAATCAATCATTTTTCTGCAGCTAGTATAAGTTTAAAGATCAAAAATAACGCTCCTTATTTTCATTTGACGTCCAATCATTGTCAAATTTGTATTTTGCAGTTCTTCCTTAGATATGGAAAAAATTTACATTTGTTTCCGATCAAATATTTTGCAAATTTTAACAAGTTTTATTTCCTCCACCAAGGAAGAGTACAATCTAAACCAGAAAATTAACATAATAGCCCCATAAACAATATAAGACTTTTAATGGGAAGACTAGATTTTTCTTCAATCTATCATTTTTCTGCAGCTAGTATAAGTTTAAAGATCAAAAATGACACGCCTTTTTTATTTGTCGTCCCATTATTGTCAAATTTGTATTTAGCAGTTCTTCCTTAGATATAGACGTACAATTGGCAAGAAATGTACATTTCTTTTCGACGAAATATTTTGCTATTTTCAAGACTGTTGTATCCTCTATCCTGGAACAGTATAATCTAAAGCAGGAAATTAACATATTAGCCTCATAAATAATACAGTACTTATTTTGGGAAGGTTAAATTTTGCTTCAATGTATTATTTTGCTGCAGCTAGGATAAATTTAAAGATCGACAATTTCGCGCCTTATTTTGCTACAGTTTTGTTAGAAGATTATCATCCCAAATTTTCAGTCGAACTGACATTAACAGTCAGCGTGAGTTTCTGTTTTGATGCAGAAGATTCTGTAAGATTCTGCCAACAGTTTTCAACTGGTTCTTCTGGGGGTTAGATCCTTAAGGCACGACTTAGGATAAAACGGCATTCGAAAACTACACAGCACTAAGTAAATTTAATTAAAATTAATCAACTTTTATTAAAAATATAAATTTTTATTTGTTTATGCCCAAGAAAAGATAAATAAAATTCGTCTTCTATAAATATGGAAGAAAAACAGTTTTTAGTCTGTTAAAGAACCCTGAAAACAAGAGATTATTTATTATTTGAGTAAAATTTGCCACTCGACATACGTGAATATTTTAGATATAAAAATTATTTTTATTTTAAAAATGACAATGTCGATTTCGTTGTAAAGGTGCTGTTATATTCGATTTAGCAAATGAGAATACCTCTTTTGTTTTGCCACGGATGGGAACCTGTTTTCATGGAAGTTAATTTTGACAAGGTAAATTGAGATTTGGCAAAATATCTTGGTGACTCAACTATCACAATTGCCCCTCAAATCGGGGATGGAAACCTGTTTTCATACACTGATATATGACAAGGTAAATTACAAAAAATACTTCACCTTCTTAATTTTACTATATGTAAATCCATTGTATATAAAAAAACAGAGATGGAAAACTGTTTTCTATTCAGTTAAATTTAACAACTGCAGAGCTGGGAAAGCTTATTTGGAATAACTATTTTTTATTATTATTTTTTAATTAAAAATACACTGGCTTGACTTAAAAAACAGATAAGAACCATTAGAGACGTTAATTAACAAGTCATAAACTCCTTCTCAAAGTTTCACCCCCATATTTTAACTTTCCTTTACATAAGCTCTATTGTCCTATCTTTTGTACCTAGATATGCACCCTACGTTTTTTTATTTTTATTTAGGCTAAATTAGTATGTATGATGTGTGGAAATTGAACTAAGTAAATCTAAAATTCCTTAATTCTTTTACGAAGAGACCAGCCAATGACGTAAGGTGAGAATACATAAAACTCTTTCTTGAATGGCTTAAGTTATCGGCTGGCTTCTTTGTAAAAAACAAAGGAATTTTGACTTAGTTCGATTTTGGCCCTACACTAGTTTGTTCTTTTCCGAAGAAGGCAGTTGATGATTTAAGCCAGTCAAAAAAGCGTTTTATGTATTTCCACATTTAGACCAGTCGAAAAAGCGTTTTATGTATTCCAACCTTTAATTAACATTAACAAAAAAGTAATTTACAGAAAATGCAGAGCTGTAAATCCTTATTGGAAATGAATTCACCTTCTCAGTTTTTTCATGGCTTCTTCGGATTTGAACAAACATTTAGTCAAAAGTCGACGTTCATATCCCTTCAAACAGCTGCTATAAACGAATAGGACGAACAAATTGACACTAAATCCCACAGTTCCTTTCAGTGAATATGTCAATCGGTCAAGTAGAATAAAGAAGAAAGAATAGAAGAGAAAGTGGTCGAAGTCAATCTTCTAAAATGGCATTGATATAGAGTATAGCTAGAAAAATTGCAGTAAAAGTTGAAGAAAAAACAAAATAAAAGTAAAATTACATGAAATATAGTGACGAACAAATTTTGGCTACTAACAGACAAACGACCGACGGTTACAAAGGTGACAACAACGATCCAATCAATGCATCATGAGTAATAACAACACCAACAACACTATTCGCAGTAGCAATGTTTACAGTTCTGCAAGGACGGATGATGAAATGGCAATGCTGATAGATCGATCGAATGCACTTGGAACGGATGATACGACGATTAACATCGAAAATGACATGGGCCCAAGTACGAGTCAACAACAGAGATTGCACTTGTCGATACGAAGAGAAAGTAATCCTGCAACTCGTATTAATATGGATTTGAATAATAGTAGCAGTTCTCCGGTAGCTGGCGGAACTGGTGGCATGGATAATACCCACATTGATGAAAGGCAACGCTTGCGTAACTTATTCACTATGCTACGCGATGCAAGACATCAATTTCATCGCCAACATTCCTCCTCATCCTCCACGGCCATGGGAAGAGATCCGCGCCTGCCCATGGCTGTAAATGAATCACAAGCGCCACGATCTTGGCGTGAAAATTTATACGATGTACTGGCCTCTCCGGTCACACAGCGCACAGATGTACTGCGCACCTTATTTACGCCTTCAACTTCGGGTAATTTCCGCTATAATACTTTGCCTACAAACGATAACCCCACACCTGAAGAACATTTTCATTTTTTGCTAAATTCAAATTCCCTAGATCATGATGTTCCACACAATCATCAGCATCAACGAAATAGTCAAGTAGATTTGGGCAGCGGTGGTGGTGGTGGTGGTGGTGGCAGCGCTGGCGGAGTGGAAACTCAAACTAATAGTACCTCAGGCTTAAGGCTGTCCAGACAAAGTTCACGTTTGGAGGATAGAAGTGCCGCTGATAGCACTACATCCCCGACCAGTAGTACACCGACGCCGGTCACAGGAGATCCCCTGGAAACGGCTGGTAGTCGTCGCCAAAGTAATGTGCCTGCCACTGATGCCGGTGGCTCAGGAAACAATGGCCGCTTGCCTCAGAGGCAAGCCTCGTTGGCCGGCAGCAATGCGCCCACAATTGATATGGATGATCCCGATACAAATGCCATGGGCGAAATGATTGTTAAAATTGTTTCTCATTTCGTCCGCTATTTGCCTTTCATTTGCATATTATTGATCAAATTTGTACATGATCATTTGTTGGGTATTATCGATTTGGTGGTCTTGCAAGCGGTCATGTTTCAGGTTAACAAATCCTTGAAAGAGCAAGTTGCAAAAGTCAATCAGAAATCGTACGCTGTTCTCACACGCGATACAATTCTAGTGGTGTGTGTTGTAACATACCGTTTTCTCTTGGCCCCCTCGACACCGGATCCATTTGGCCTGCTGATCAATCCGCCGGGAGAAAAGCTTACCTTGGATTTGTCTTTCAGTTCGGATGCAAGCCACGCTAAAGCGGATAATAGTGGTGTTATTGATGTAACACTTGCACCAGGAAAACATGAAAGTGTGAATGTTTCCCTAGATCCGACATCGAATCCCATGGGGAATGATACAATCTCTCTGGGAAAATCCGTTTCGTTGGGTGTCTTGCTATACTACATCGCTGTGAATGATTTGGTATTGAAATTATTGACACAATTGGTGAAAATATTTGTCACAATGTTGCCTACACGTGTAATACGTCATAAATCGAGGGTGAGTATTTGATTTCCATCGTTGTTTATCAATTAGAATAGATTCACACCACAAGCTATGTCCATCTTTACATATAATCTGCACAAAAACACTTAACGACTAGTTTTTGATATTTGACTGACCACATAATGAGGAAGAGATCCTATTCGTCAGACTGGGCTCTGTAAAGCGCATCAAAATTTCGCCCACACTTTATATTCAAATTTCTTTTAAACAAAATTATATTTTTAGGCCCGCTTATATGCTTCAATAGAATATATATCGCAATACTACAGAGCATTGGTTCCAATAAGACAATGGATAACGTATTTATTCGAATCGTATACAGGTTTGGAAATTGTAAGTATTTGGAGTTTTCAAACAATTTTGTTACAGTGTTTTACAAAAAAGAATCCATAACCTTTTACAGATATCCGGTATACTACTTTCCTCATTCTATTTGGGTGCAAAAGGATTTGAATTTGTTGAACGTTGGAAATCGTTGAAAAAGGCGTTAGTTAATTTCATACGCAATATGGTAAAACAACTTGAGATTTTGTTCTTCTTGCCTCGCGTCTATTTCAATTTTATTTTCAACTAGGATTACGATCGCAAGCCGACCAAAGATGAACTGGATGCTGCTGGTACTGTTTGTCCCATTTGTCATGATGCCTATACAACGCCCGTTGTATTGGAGTGTAGTCATATTTTCTGTGATGATTGTGTTAATACCTGGTTTAAGCGTGAGCAGACGTGTCCCATGTGCCGTGCTAAAGTTAGCGAAGATCCAACATGGCAGGATGGAGCGACAACATTTTTCTATCAAATGTTCTAATTGACACCCTAATCTTTCTAAGTCAAACCTCTTTTGTTTATATGCTCGTATTCAACAAAATATATATTTAATCTTGATTTTCTATAGTTAAACTTGGCAGATGACCAGCATTATAATATACATAAATATATGAAAAAGTAATGTTTTTCTGTTGCGTTATCATTAGCATATTATATTTTAAATAAAATAAGATCATTCCTCTACTGCTATGTACATACATAATTAGTATTTTAAAATTATATACTATTATTATTACTATTATCAAAGAAAATCGTTTACTAGATAGAGTAAAAATCAAGTGTTTTTATTTCAATTTCCACAGGGTATTTTCTTGAAAGAAGGCTCCGTCACCTTGTGTTGCTTCCCTATTGATGGCCTTGTGCCTTTCTTTGCTCACAATTTCTTCGAGTACTTCGCCATCGCCCTTAATTAAGCGTACCCTACCGGTACTAGGATCCACCTCCCGTCTTATTCTGCTTTGTCGCTTTTGATATTCATCCGGAGTCTCAGGTGCATGAGATTTACTGTTCATTAAGTCGAGAGGAATGGAAAAATCGTCATCCTCAACATCAAGCTTTGGCGAGGGTTCCTTTGCGATTTTATCTTCCTTCGTCTTTGAATGTTTCTTCTTATGTTTATGCGACTTCTTCTTTTCTTTACGATCCTTGTGTTTTTTCTTAGATTTTTTCTCTGATTTGTGCGATTTTCCCATGTTTATTAATTATTAATTTAATTTTTATTTATTATATTACATTATATTTCATGTACCAACGCACCGTAGCCAATAGGAATAAGGTAACAATGTGGAAAACTGTGATAAAGGCAAAAATCAAAGCAAAACTAACAATCTATAGGGTTCTAAAAGATCAGAAATTGCGAAAGGTTTCTAGAAACACCATTTTCTCTCAAAAGAACAGCCGTTCGTTCACGGCCGGAATGAAAGAGCGAGTGTCAAAATTTAAATTTTGGCTACTATTTAATATTTTTAATATTAATTTATTATGTTATATTTCATGTACCGACGCGCCATAGCCAATAGGAATAAGGTAACAATGTGAAAAAAATAAATAAATGCAATGATCAAAGCAAAACAACAAACTATAGGTCTCTTAAGGTCAAAAATGTCGTAAGGTTTATAGAAACAATTTTCTCTCAAGAGAGCAGGAGATAGAACAGCTTCGTAAAAATACAGAAATACAGCCCTGTGTGCGTACGCAGGGTACGTTTCTTCCAACCATTAATTTTGGAAATAGAACAGGGTTGGCTTTTTTGTTCGGCAAAATGGTTGTTTTGCAAAATGGTCAGACTTAATCCCTTTATTAAAAATGTTTTTTTGTCATAGAAGTTATTTTTAAAATAACTTTTGGGGAGAATATCCCAGACAAAAAACAAGTGAACTGATGAGGATTGGTGGCTCTTTCAGAAACCTAGGTAGACTTAATCCCTTTATTAAAAATGTTTTTTTGTCATAGAAGTTATTTTTAAAATAACTTTTGGGGAGAATATCCCAGACAAAAAACAAGTGAACTGATGAGGATTGGTGGCTCTTTCAGAAACCTAGGTATTCCCCGCCTTAACCCCTGGTAAACATTACCATCGTTCTCCTGACCATTTTGCAAAAACAAGGGTTTGAAAATATTTTGTTTTTATTTTTCTATAATAAATACATACACAAACTTGGCAGTAGTCAGATATGTACAATTAGAAAACATTTTGTACCTTTTTATTGTACCAAAAATCTAAATTTTTGTATGGAAAATTGATTGCTTTGTTTATATATTTGGATTCATAACACAGTATTACGGAACAACAACACTGGAACAGAGCAAACATAATGGAGAAAATTCTAATTTTGTATTTACCGGCAAGATCATCGGGATATATGCTTATTTGCTTTAAAAAATAATAGAATTTACACAAATTTTTCATGCTACAATAATTAAGAGTTATTAGCTAAACTACAACACTGTACCGGGATTTTCTAAAATCTTAACGACAGAATTAACTACAATTATCTGTAACAGCGATTTTTCAATTGCTTATAATTTCGGTAATTAACAAAATTTGTCGGTAAGTTTGCGACGAATAAAAGTCGTGTCTAAGGCCGATATAAACATTAAACAACTTTTTCCATGACAAATTTGTATAATTTTGCGGTAAAATCACAATCATCAAACATCACATATTTTGAAACGTATGCAAAAGATCACGATTTATACGATTTGTCGTCCAACAGATAAGTTTCACAGACAATTCTTTCCTACGCCGGCAAATCATTCCAGCATCTATGAAAATTGTTGCTTTGTACGGCGGCTCTGGTATCTGTGCAGGTAAAAGCAAAAGCGACGCGATTTTAAACAATTGCATTTTGAGAGAAAAATCTGAGAAAAAGTTGAACAAAAACTTGTGATAATCGTTGCTGGCTGTGAACGCCAAAGAATTTGTTAATATTTGTGTAATTATTTAAGGAAACGGCGTCCTTAGCCACGTCGTTCGCCATCGAATAACAATTTAACTTCGATGTAATTTTTTTCTTCATCAGACCTTTTGTTCCGCTCAAGACGTGTCGTAAGTTTAGCCAACAAAAAAGAAAATCAGAAAGCAGTGAATTTATGCTTATTGCCAAGAAATTAAAACTATTAAAAAGGATTCGAAATGCTTGGGAGTAGTGTAATTTGGCTAAGATTTATGGGAAAAGAAGTGAAGATATATGAAAGTGTTGGAGAAAAGAAAATTATGAATGGACTTAATGGAGAAGACACTTTGTTTGTTGTAATTGCAAGGGTTGCCAAATTGCAGTAGATTTGTTTCGATTCTGGAAAGAATTATTGTGCTGAAATAAACAACAACAACAATTGTGCGGACAAAGCAGCTACGTTATTTTATATTTCCCTTTGTTCAGGTCTTTCACACAGCTCCCCTGAGGTTCCTCTCATTGTTCGTTGGTTGTCAAAAAAATGGAAAAAGTACGAAAATTTGCATTAAATGCAACCCTACAATGGCCGGTTTTTTGCATTTTCCCTTTGGTTTCAATTCTTAGTTTTCTTTAGCTTCTTATTCTCACATGTTCGTCGTGTGCAGTAGTTTATATTAATTTGTCATGTGTTAGAAGAGTGCCAATATAGAGTACCGGTTATTTTTGCAACTCTTCTATCAGCCATCTTCGTCGTTGTCTTTCAAGAGTTTTTTTTGTCAAACGGGAGACGACGACAGTCATTTGTAGTGGAGTGAATTTTTGTTCTTGTGTGTTTTATATTTTCGCTTTTATTAAATAGTTTTGAACTGCAAAATATCATTTTTTGTACAAATTTCATTTCGGAATATGCAATGGACGTGCTGTTTGACATTTATAAAAGCAATATTTATGTAAGTAAACGAGTAGAATCGCACACAAACCAAAAACCCATACAAAACCAGAAGAAGAATCAAGCAAAGAAAATGAACTGCTTGCTGAACAAACTGAACTGAACAGTGGACGACGTTTTCCAGAGGCGCGTTTAAACATTTCCTTTATTTGCTTGTGTCATTTACAATGCTGTGTGGTGTTTGTACGTGTGTGTGCGTGTTTGTGTGAAGCGCCAACTATGGAAGAAAGACAACGAAAAATTGAAACTCAACAACAAAAAGAAAAAAAAATCGTAAATATTAATCTGCCTGCCGTGCGATGGATGGTGGTAATATTATTTCCATAACACCATCGACCGACCGACCAAATGACAAAATAATGTTTTAATTACTCCTCCAGTGAGATGATGAATGCTTGCATATTTGGTGTGCATGTGTGCGTATGAGTGTGTGTGTGTTTGTGCGGATTTGTAAGACACAGCGTTTTAGCTGACTGACCCCTTTTTCAGCAGCAAGCGTTGGTTAGTTTCCGAAGTTTTAAATTCTATACGTATCACTTTTGCTTTTTTCTTTCCTTATTCCAAGTTCATGACCTTATATATTTCACATTGGAAAAAAGTGTGGCCTTGATATAATGGTTGAATTTGTCGTTGCATGATGACGATGGGGAGGTTTGAGCTGGAATTACTCTTTTTTTTAGTTGGCATAGTTTTGTTTTCTAGGTTTACTTTTTTTTAACAAAGAATGTTCAATATTGTAGTTATCGCTTTGACATCTTTAATCAACAAAGTGTTTGGTGTTAAGCGTTTATAGCAATGGTCGATGCTATCGTAGAGGATGAAATAGGCCATGATCACAGAGATTGCACATGGATACATGAATGTGAATATTACTTTTTTCAAAATTATAATAAAGAGACGAAATGTAGGAAAACGTGTGTTCGGGTCGGTATTCTACCAGAACAAGAAGACAGGAAATTTTTTGCAAAGACCCAGTTAGAGTATAGGTCTAGCACTGATATTCTAAAGTAAGGCTTCCAATAGTTTCAGATACCTGTCAAAAGGAAAATTATGCCCAATCGTTGATATTTCTTGCTGAAAGCTATTAGACGACGAATAGCTGAGCTCTCAAATAGTGAATACAAATTAATATTTTTTAACAAATACACAAAGCTAACGTGCAGAATCTTTAGTAAGTTCGCTACAACTATTCACATGCTCTATTTCCACAGTTGTACTTTCCATTTAGTGCAGTAATACGCTGTCTAGTTCCATATGGATTTCAAATCACATCAGGCAAAATTCTCTCGTTCCCATGGGTCCATATCTGGTGCCTGGATTTCTTTACGTTTCCGCTAACAGACGGAATTATTCTATGATCCACGTTCACTTCTTGTCGATGGATTTTAGAAATAGATTCAGTTCTCCACCCTAATGTTTTTTCGTTGGTGGGGATCTATGTCCTCTGAACTCGATGCAGGTCTGTGTCTGGCATCATCACGTAATTAGTTAATCCTTCCTTGTTATAACAGTAGTACATGTAGATTTTTGTATTCTGCTAATCTGGTTCAAAATTCGGCTACCTTAATGGTCTGTAACCAGAGATCTACTGGAGTGAGTTGGGTAGGTTTGGCACTGCTATTAAAGAGGTGCAGCGTATTGTACGGGCCTGTATCATACGCCGGGCTGACGTCTCGCACATCTTTGTCAATTTGTGCCGAATACGAATTGAGACGGCTGCACCATCCTGACCGTAATTGCGCCAAAACTACAATGTTTTGTCTAGACAGCTGACGTCCTTTAGCTGCAATGGATGGGGGGATGGACCCCGAGGACGACATTCATCCTCTAATTGCTGATGGCATCTGCGACTGCATCCGTATGAATGCTACTCAGACCTGCCTGATAGGCTTCTTGATCTAGATTTTCTCTCTTTTAGCGTTGGATCTCCCTCTCTAGATCGTGTATGTCCTTCCTGACAGATTCCAAGCCAATATATATTCTCACATTTTTGGACAAGAGGTGCACGTAGAACTCCTTGTTTATATAAGTATAGGTCCCTAATGCGAATGTATTGGGCGGTCAGACATGCGTTTTATAATAATTATTACTTCAGCTATATGGCTAGAGAAGGTATACATCTTTTGATACGACCAAAACGTGCCTCATCGAAATAACTATTTTAGACCCTAGGTCTCTTTGTACCAAATCTGTTTCAAGCCATTTGGAGTCGATCTAGCGATGTCCGTCCGTCTGCCTGGCTGGCGCGGACGATAACTCTCGAAGGGATTATCCGATTTGATCCAAACTTGTAACATTATTGTCAAACTTAGATCGAGACTTGGAACATTTCAAAATTTCCATCAGTACAAGATCTGTTATAAAGGTGGTAGGTAACTTCTGGTACCTACCCCACAAAGTGTCAAAATTTTGAATAACCAAAACAAACTTAAAATCCGAAAGAAGCACGCGGTTCTGCTCAAATTACACACATCACAATATTTTTATTAACCCAAGGTCTTGTGAGAACATGGAATACATCTGTTATAAAGATGGTAGAGATCGGACCATTTCTTCTGGTTCAAGATTTAGAAAAAAAAATGCTCAAAGAGTGAGGAATAAGCATCCAATTCTAATAAAAATGTTACACATGCAAATATATTTGATAACGCAAAATCTGCTGTGAAGATGTTATACATCTGCCAACCCCTTCTGGTACCTCACCCACAAAGGGTCACGATTACAAATACTTATATCTGTCATAATTTGCTATATCTAAATATTTCTGTTAACCAGAAATCTGATATGAATATGTAATTGATCGGAATTTATGATTTCGAATAAAATTGGATATAAATGTTCGATTTCCTTCAAATTTTGCACATATCAATGTTTATATAAAGTTTATATAAAGTTTGAAAATGGAATGCTTCGGTCGGCTATATCTGTTATCTCACGCATTTTTCCACATTAACCAAAAATTTGCACATATCTCATATAAAGTGTAGGAGTAGTCGATATAGACCAAATCTGGCACGTTGTAATATTTTTTTTATCAGTCTTAGGTCAGATACGAATTGGTCAATATTGGCCAAGTGCATAACTCAAGGCTGGGGGTATACATCTGCCGGCAAAACCGACTGCTAATATTTTACTTGTTTTCCTATATTGGTCTGGAAATACTTCCATTTATTACTTTCTTTAACAGGATTGCAGGTTCCTATCATTTTTTTATTTTCTTTTTCATTCCAATTCAAGTCAGTTTCATTAATAAGACTTTTTTCTTTTTGTATTTTCAGTAAACCTCCATAAAGTCCAAAAGAGCCTGACACAGATATATAGCGAGCATATTTGCAAACAACAACAACAAAAATCATATATTTACTATTTAAAGAAATACTAAACCAATTATTTTGTAAGTAACTTTTATCAAAGCAAATCAACATTTAAAAAAAAAAGTATCCAACAGCAACGAGTGATTAACTTCGACAAAGAGAAAATATTTCTTGAAAAGAAGTACTGATTCCATTTATGTGAAAATAAAACAAAAGCATAGAGTTACCAAAACCTTTTTTCTCCAAGAGAAATATATAATAGTATATCAAACCAACAACTTAACCCCAATATATAGCTGTTAATGCTTTTTGAAAAGACCTCCAAAATCCCATTCAAGGCAAATCCGACGAGATATGCAAACTTCAAACACTCCATAGAGCTGTAGTAAAATAATACAAACAAAACAAATCTAAAACAAGCTGAAGAGAAAAGAATTAACAATATCTACTCTAATAGGCAGGCAGACAAAAGATCGATACAATCGTCGTTGGGCAGAAAAGGAATTCAACAAGCGGCTTGGTGGTGAAATAGAAAGCGAATTACACTATTTCCATACTCCCACAAGTCACCAGCACCCCCTCTCTCCCTCCAGATGTGTTGTTAGTCATTTTTACTAAAAAAAAAGAAGACTCGATTGCGTCTGCAGAGAAGGACGGACAACAATCAACAAAACTATTTATTTACAAAAGAGGTTGTATTATTTGTTTGGGACGCCAGCATCACCTCCCCCCCAATAGTCGTTGAAACTCCAAAACAAACAAGGATCTAGTATTCAATAGTCGAAAAGAAGAAACTTACCAGTATCAGCAACATATTCTCTTTTTTTATATATACATGTATATAACTCAGTTAGTAACTAAAGCTAGATGTTCGTCGTGTTTCGCCTGTGTGTTTTTGTAAGCAATAACAGTTTGTAATTTCTGGCACACTTCGAAGGGATATCAAACAGTCGAAGCAGATTCACGAACATCAACGTGTGATCGAAAGCGTGTTTGGGTCCAGTTCTAATTCGCCGCCTTCAAAAATTCAGCCGAGAGTGTGCAGGGAGAAAATTAAGAAGCGAATCAATAGCAAAGCAAAATAGGAGCAATATCAACAAAAATCATTATTTATTGATTTATACATTCTCTACATACGTATATGATATGATATAATTTTTACAACAACTTCATATTTTATTGTGAAAATCTGCAATCAATCATAGACAAAAAAAAAAAAAAAATAGCCAACCAACAACAACACAAGTAAATCACCTGTTAACAACAAACTACTTTATCCATTAGCTCGTCATAAACAAGGAAAACAAAGGCTGCTGTCCCTCTAGGAAACAACCACAAAATAGCAAAAAAAAAAAAAAACAAATACTAAAAATCAATACAACTACAACAACAACAAAAGAAAAGCTCAGGGGAATTAACAAAAAACAAAAACAAAAGAAGTTGTAAAATCAGCAAACCATACATTTTTTAGGATAAAAAAAGGAAAACACATAGCATAAGTAGTTCTACGAAAGGCTAAGACAATTTGCCAACAACAACAGAAATCCAAAAAAAACAAAAAAGAAGGAAGAAGCAAACGAACGTTTAACACAACGTGGAAGATAATAGATAGCGTTTAGTCAAAAATCTCATCTTGAAGCCATTCATCCATCCATAACACTTTTCTGAGGCCAATAGTCGTCGCTGCAAAGCCGACAACACAACAGCAACAACACCAACAAACAGTAGAAAACAGCCATAATGGACGAATCACAACCGAAAACGTTGTATGTAGGGAATTTGGATGCAAGCGTATCGGAAGATTTATTGATTGCCCTATTTAGTCAAATGGGTACAGTGAAGAGCTGTAAAATTATACGAGAACCCGGTAATGATCCCTATGCATTCATTGAATACACCACATACCAAGCAGCCACAACAGCCTTAACAGCCATGAATAAGCGTCTCTTTCTCGACAAAGAAATCAAGGTAAGTTCGGCGGCATCATTAATATTTTGGGTAGTTTTCTCAAACGATTTTTGTTTTGACAGGTTAATTGGGCCACCAGTCCCGGTAATCAGCCTAAAACAGACATCAGTTCACATCATCATATCTTTGTGGGCGACCTAAGTCCTGAAATCGAAACTGAAACCTTGCGTGAAGCATTTGCTCCCTTTGGAGAGATCTCTAACTGCCGCATTGTACGTGATCCACAGACTATGAAATCAAGAGGCTATGCATTTGTCTCGTTCGTTAAAAAAGCCGAAGCCGAAAATGCAATACAAGCCATGAATGGCCAGTGGATTGGTTCGCGTTCGATACGCACCAATTGGTCGACACGTAAATTGGCACCACCCCGTGAGAACAGCAAAGCGAATACAGGCGGTGGGGGTGGTGGTAACATGAAATCGAATACCCGACAAACATTTGAAGAGGTCTACAACCAGTCCAGTCCCATGAACACTACAGTATATTGCGGTGGTTTCCCGCCAAATGTGATTACCGATGAACTTATGCACAAGCATTTCATGCAATTCGGTCAGATACAAGACGTGCGCGTTTTCAAAGACAAAGGCTTTGCGTTCATTAAGTTTCTAACAAAAGAATCGGCGGCCCGAGCCATCGAACATACACACAACTCGGAGGTGCACGGCAGCAATGTAAAATGTTTCTGGGGCAAAGAAAATGGTGGTATTAATCCTGCTGTAGTGAACGATAATCCAATGACTAATATGGCCGCTGTATCAGCGGGGGCAGCGGCTGCGGCTGCGGCAGGCGCCATGATGGGCCCGGCGGGTATGCCAACGATACCACAACAGGCTGCGGCTGCTGCAGCAGCAGCCAATGCCGCAGCAGCTGCTGGTGGGGCGATACCCGGCCAAATGATGACACAACAACAATTGGCGGCTGCTGCAGCGGTACAATATCCATATGCATATCAACAAATGGGCTATTGGTATCCGCCAGCTGTAAGTGTTTCGATCGTTTAATTTTCGATATATGTAATTGTTATTCGCTTGTGTGTTACAGGGTTATCCTCCAGCACAAATGCAGACACAATACATGCAACAAGGCTATTATCCTTATGCCTATGCCGCAAGTACGCAACAGGCAGGAGGCATGGGTAAGTTATTCGATTTGTAATTCTCTGTTGAAAGTTCGTTATTAACTTTTGTTGTTATTTTAACAGCCACTGGCTACAGAATGGTCCAGCCAAATGTGGCTTGGGGGGTGCCCGGAACTGTCGTCCCTGGAGTGACTGCGGCAGCAGCTACAGCAGCAGCAAACGGTTCACTGGGGCCACAAATGATGTATAGTGCTGCATTGCCACAATATCAAACCCAATGAAGCTTTTAAACTGGCATGTTTTGTAAACAACAACAACAACAAAAACATTGTTAAGTTCCAAACAACAAAAACAACAAGATGAAGAAGACAACGCGCGATATAAATCTAATGGAAGGAGAAGGAGTGCTACACACACACACACATGCCCACTGATGTTCGTTTGTTTGTGTGTGGTGGTGGGGGCTGCAACAACTACTACTGCTGCTGCTGCTGCTGCTGATGCTAATGAATTAACGTGATGTAGTAACTAATTATTAAGGATAATATAGCGAACAAGACAGCGAGAGAGATAAGAGAGAAAGCGAAGCGATGCAATTCTTCAGTGGCAGTCAAACCAAAACGGAACAACCATGCTACCACACACTCCTTGGAACACTTTTAAAACATGAACATGCAAACTGTTTCCCCGCCCCAACCACTACCCTCCCTTCCGACACATATTTTCACACACACACACACTCACCTGTACATCATACACAATAAACCATTGACATCTGCATCTATCTACCTATCTATTTGTATGTGAACGTCTATGTGTGTGTGCGTGTGTGTGCATTGATCAACAACTCTTAAAGCCAACAATCGATATAAATATATATACTTTTATATATATTATAATGTATATGTGTGAGTGAGTGCTTGAAATATGCAAAATCACTTAACATATTAATCTCTCGCTATATTCCTTGATTGTTTGCGAATAATACATGACAATACACATTGAAAGACAAACCACTACCACAACCATATATATACACACATTTACATATATTAGATCACCCGTCCCCGCCGTAACTACATAATTTCATAACTCCAAGGAGACCGAGTCCACCACAAGCCGCCATCATTCTCAATTTGGGGAGGGAGAGAAGAGAACAATCAAAAAAATATGGGACAACTCGACTGTTATCTATCTCCAAATGGTGGATATCAAGTCGACAGCTTAACAAAATCTAACCAACTTAATTCATCCGAAAGAAAACTTCAGCAACTCTTCCTGCCGCGTATTCCTCCTCCACACACACACACCCACATACATCCACACACACACACTCCATCATCCTAATGTAGAAATGTTGTCGTATATCTTGTAATATTCGCTTACAATCTCAAAACATAAAAAAAACCATAGAAGTTAGGTCGTTGTTAATTAAATTATATTTAAAATAAAAACAAGAATAATTATAATAAAAACAAACAAAAAACAAAACCAATTTGCAAAAATAACTTTATTATAAAAACAAAAACAAAACAAGAAATCCAAACAACAACAAAAAGAAAAAGAAAAACTTAAATCATCAAGTGATTGATCGTAATGATGAGGAGAAAATTAAATACAAAAACAAAATAAATATCCTATCACTTCGTCCTTTGCCCCTGCCCTTGAAAGAAAAAAAAAAAACAAAAACAAATTGTCGTTATCATCTCATTTCTTCTTTGCTTAGCAAATGAAAAATGAACATGAGAAAAGCAAAAAAAAACCAAGAATACAATTTATTATTAAAAAAAACATAAATTATTTTTTCTACAAAACAAACAAACAAAAAAACAAAATCGTATTTATGTATCGAAAATAAAAGGAAATTGTGTGAGGCAACCAAAACACCAAGAATTCAATACAAAAACAAAACAAACATGGCTAACAACCATAGACGAAAGAAAAGAAAATCCAATTTAACATTAAGAAACAACTCCACTTTAAAAGAAACAACAACAACAAACACAACAGAGCCCCCCCAGCAAAATGTTGTTGGTAACGCCGAAAACAAAACAAAACAAAATGACTGGGATTTTAATCTCTTAAAAATAAAATCCAAAAAAAAAAAAACAAGTAATATTATTAATAATACAAAACGTATATAAATTTATTGTTGAAAAAATGATGATAATTTATTTTATTAAACAAAAAACAAAATAAAAAAAAACTTAGGATGAAGTTAGAAAGTAACAAATACGAGGAGGAGAACATTACAAAAAACAAAGATGACAAACACAACAAGAACAACAAATCGAAGCAAATTCTCACTAATCCATAAAGCAAAAAAACCAACCAATCTTTATATTTAAGCAACGCCATTTTTAGCGTTACAAAATATGAAAACAAAAACAAAACAGAAAAAAAAACTGAAATAGAAAAACTAACTAAAAACGAAAGATGATAAATGCGTTTTATGTATAAAAAAAGAACAAACAATAAATAAAAAATCAACTGAAACGTATTTATTTATTAATCTACAAAAAAACCATACTTTTTATTTGGCATACAATATTTTGTATAGATAGCAAATACAAGAAAGGACACCACGCGCGGTGAAAATCAAAATCGATACACAAGAATAAATAAATAGAACCCTTTAGACTATGGACGCAGGCAGTCAGACAGTCATCATTTATAGGTTTTATGTAAGTTATTTAATATTGTCTATGGACGCATTCAGTTTGTGGTATTAAACACAATTTCCACCTCTACAGTGTTTTCTAACCATATGGTTTATTTTGATTCTTTTCATTCTTCCAAATTTTTTTTTTGTCGAGACACTCTTGCTTTTGAATGAAGAGTGAAAATCAGTTAAAACAAGTAAAATAGTATCAGTCAGTGTATACCCCCATCCTTGAGTTATGATTATTCAAACTGTTGACCCATTATGGTAGAGGTTTCGAATCAGTTGGACAATATTGCCCAATTCGTATCTTACCTAAGACTACAACGTGCCCTATTTGGACTATATCGTCCACTTCCTATACTTTATATGAAATTTGTGCAAATTTTTGGAAAATGTGAAAATATGCGTGAGGTGAAGATAAAGCGGACCGAAGTGCAGGGTGAGATAAAAAAAACTGCAACAAAGTCAAACACTATTTTTTACATTTTTTTTTGTAATTTTATTGAATGAAAGCAAAAAATGTCGGAAATAGCATCAAATTTTAGAATAAGTTTAGATTCACCTTTGGCACGAATTATGACCTTTAAACGGCCAATGAAACCGTCACACGCTGCCCGAATGTTGATCTGAGGTGTTTTGGCCCATTTCTCTTTAGCTCTTTTATACGGGTTTCGATCAAGTCGCTTCTTTACTTTTCGAACCATTTCTACTGATGTTGCTGTTTTCTTCAGTCCACTTCCTTGACGTTGGGCTACGCTATCAGTATCACGGTAACGAGCGATGTTACGAGACACAAAAGATTTATTCACATTTTGATGTTGGAGTGCTCTAACTATAGACAAATATAAAGAATCAGACGAATATAAAGAAATCAGACGAGTGGCTTAGAAATGACAGCACTTTTTTTCATCTCACCCTGTATAGTTGGTTTTGGTTCTTTTCATTCCTCCAAAGTTTGTCATATTTACGCTGAATAATACAATTTTTGTAATTTACCAAATCGATCGGTATCTGAGAAAGCTAAAACAAAAACCATAGATTTTAAATTAGGAAATTACAAGTCGTACACTGTATGTATGTGATAGTGGTCTTACCTAGGAGGGATCTCATGTGCTAATTAACCACAGGCAGAAACCCATAGCACAGATTTGTGCACTTTCACTCGCGAGCCAGAATTGCCCGAAGAAGTCTACTCTACAATCCTTTGATTTGTGTCGCAGCCCTTCCGAGTCACACCTGCATGTGAATAAATAGATTGGGAGCAGAATCGCTCAAAAGTGAAAATGAGTAAAAACTTGTAAAAAACACAGCTAAGTTCGGCCGAAAATCTTTATGCGGAAGCTATACAAAGACGTGGTGCTGCATAAGTAATTTTTTGTCATAGGCTGCAGTATCCATTACGAACTTTAAATATGAAATTTGAAAAAGTTCTGGTGAATAATGTCGCTAATATCGTCAAAATACCGAATATTAGGATGTATATGGAGGCTATACGAAGACGTGGACCAGCACAATTTTCTGTCTTAGGCTGAAGTATCAATTACGAAGCTCAAATACCAAATTCGAAACAATTACCGTGAATAATGTCGCCAAAATCATTAAAAAAACGAATATCGGGAGATACCGTTATATGAGGGCTATACGAAGACGTGGACCTGCACATTACGAACTTTATATACGAAATTTGAAACATTTCCCGTGACAAATGTCGTCAAAATCATCAAAATACCGAAAAACTTTGACCTACATGGCCAATTTTCAATACCAAAAGTCCTGCAGACTAGTATACATTTGAGTAAAATTTTATCAGCCTACATTATTTCGTTCGGAAGCTAGAGTGATTTCCGAAGACGGACAGACGGATGGACATAGTATTTTCTATATAGAATTTTATGCTGATCAAGAATATACATCCCTACTATGGTGGCGGGTATAAAAACATTGTTGTTTGTTCTGTAAAAGAGAATTTTGTTCCCACTCAAAAACGAGGAAAACATGCTTGCTTCTATTCGAGCCACATCTAAAAATTACAGACAAATCCAAGACGTGGATCCAACATGAGTTAAATAAATATGAAACATCCCATGAAGTCCTTGTTTCTTTTTGATGGTTGATTAAAGCATATTTGGCGGAAGTCCATGTAGTCATTACCCATTAGCAGTTTTATTTGCCCGACCTTCCCCAGCTACTGTAGTAAAACATCTTGACGGTTTTGGTTAATGCGAATCAATTGGGAGTTATAACGATGGAGATCCCGGTATCTGATTTGAATGCATTAGAGTTGAAACCTCAGCCTATTTCATTGAAATTTCTACAAATTATTGAATTCAGATGTTGAGCAGCTTTAAAATATTAATAATATAGTTGGATTTTTTTACCAGTCAGTGTTGGAAGATTAAGGGAATTCATGTTTATGACTGTTGATCTATCTCTTAATGAACATTACCGTTGACTTTCCAATAATGCCCTGAACGGAATGATGTAACATATGTCCTCAAGCAAAACGTATTGCTAAGGGAAATGATCTATTCTTTTTTTCGTATTTTTGGCTTTACATCAAATAAGAATGCATTTTCTTCAAGGTATGATATTTCATATTTTTTATTGTGTTTTCTCTTTAACACATTCACAATTACGGCTGCTAACAATTATATCAAAAAATAAATGATATCTTCTAAGTTGGATCAATTTTCTTTTCATTTTCAACGAGCACAGACATTCCTATACCAATTCTTGCTTTCACGGCAGCGGGGATTCACACACATGGGACAGCGCATTAAGAATTTCGGATTGACATTATCTCCGTTCTTCAAGTGATCAGCAACAATGGTGCTTAAGGCTTTTATGAACAACGGATGATCGTTGGGCGTGGCTGCACGGCGTATTTCTTCAACACCCACCTGGAGAGAAGAGAAATAATATAGGTATTAATTTTTTTGTTGCAAAATTCTTAGGCTTAATCCAATTATTGTTGTTTTTATAAAAAATACAACGTTTATTGGAAGAAAAATTTGGTAATGTTTACCAGAAATATATCATATAAAAGTGGAAATACAATTATATTTCAAAAAAGAAAAAACGAACGAAAAACGGGCCGAACTTTGGATACTCTCCACCATTTGTAACGAATTTGGCAATTTTCAAAAAAATAAAATCCGTTAAAAATTCTGTTAAATTCTTAAAATTAAAAATACGACGACGTGGACCTGCATAGGCAAGTTTTGTCATAAAGCATTACAATATTCAAATGCGAAACTTGAAAAAATCGGTGAATAAAGTAGCTACAATCACCAAAATACCGAATATCTGTAGGTACCGTTACATGGACTATACGAAGACGTAGACCTGCACAGACAATTTTCTGTCATAGGCTGTAGTATTCATTACGAACTTCAAATATCAAAACTTGAAACAATTCCGGTAAACAATGTCGCTAAAATCACCAAAATACAGAAGGTCAGGAGGTACCGTTATATAGGGGCTATACGAAGACGTGGACCTGAACAGACAGCTTTCTGTCTTAGGCTGTTATATCCATTACTTTTAACTTCCCTTCATTACTTACCTCCTTAGCCAATTCATCGCAGTATTCAATGTCTAGTTCATGCAAGGTTTCAATGTGTTCGTTAACAAATGCAATTGGTACCAAAATAAAATTTTTCAATCCTTGTTTTACATAGCCCTAAGAAGTGAGAAATACACATTATTGTGATATATATTTTATCATAAATGCTATCCTGCTCACCTTAATGGCATCGTCGGTAGCGGGTGCTAACCAGGGTAATGGGCCCACTTTTGATTGCCAAGCTAAACTATAGGGATTGCAATAGCCAAGCTCTTGCATAACCATTTGTACGGAAGCTCCAATTTCAGCAGGATATGGATCACCACGATTAACAGCCTTCAATGGCAAGGAGTGGGCAGTAAACAAAATAACTACATTATTACGTTTGGTTTCACAGAATTTATCCAATTCCTCGCGAATGCGGTCGGCAAAGGTTTTCACCAACAATGGATTACTGCCCCACCTGTCAATGACACTCCACTTAATGTTGGAGGGTAAATTTCTGCAGAAAGGGGCAAAAATTAAAATTAAAAAAAGCTTAACAGAATATCCACTTGACTGACTTGTTTTTATAATATTGATATATGGAATTAAAACTGGAGCCAGATGTGGCACAGCTATACTGTGGGTATTGTGAAAATAGCACCAAACGTTCAGGGCCATCCCTAGAAAAGAAAAATTTACATTATTTCATTCTTTTTCCATGCTCATTAACATGTATAATGTATGCCGGCCGTGTTATTGTAAAATTACATACTTCTCTATTTGCTGCAAGGTGTTTTCTGTCAACGGATTGACGTAACGAAATCCCACATAGTGTTTGTGTGGTGCTGTCTCCGGTGATATACGATCCAATTCCTTACACATCAGTTCGCCCTGTAATTCGGTCCACTTTAAAATCGGTGAGCCCCCTCCAATTTCTTTGTATTTCTTTTGCACTTCCGGTGTACGTCTCTGGGCAATCCATGGTCCCAATTTACTTTGTACCGGTAATTGGATCATATCCCGATCGGTCATGATACGTAACAAATAGTCATGAACCTGATCAGTGGTCTGAGGTCCACCCATGTTTAACATGAGCACAGCCGTTTTGGGTTTTACATCATTACGGGCTGTTGTACTGAAGTTGACCCACTTTGTGAAAGTCTTTGAAAGACCTATGGAAGAGCCGGGGAAGGGGTGCATTATTTCAATAGATATCATTAATGTTGTGTGCTAAAAAAGAGAGGAATTACATTGCAATTTACTTACCGGTACTAAATTGTTTTCCCCTCAACAACATCTTTTCAAATGTAGAGTTTTGTCGTTTCGAAATGAACTAGTTCAAGGGAAATGTTTATCAAATGGAACTTTGGGTCATAGTTGCATTGCAGTTGAATTGCAATCTTGTTTTGTTGTTTATTTAATGTACCATTAGACGACATGTATTTTCATGAGTTCTTAAATTTGTAACGGCGCAATGATTAGGTTTCTTCGACCAAAAACGCTTAGTTTTATGTATTTTCTTTAAGGAATTGATCTGGAACAAGAGCCTAAAAAATGTTTTCTTTTTATTTTCTATTTGGCACTTATTTTTATAAAATTTACATTTCACATTTCATAGAACAAGAATTAGGCCCCAAATTTAGGTGACCGAGATGACCCTACTGCACTCAAATATTTTGTAGAGAATATGAGAGGGAAACCGAAGGTTTGTCTCGGAAATGTGACCAATCTTAATACCAGAAACTAAAGTACGTTTATATATATGAGGGTTAACCCACTGGATTTTGATTTAAATTGACATATCCATTACTTTTACTTCAAATAAATCCTCTCAAAGTAGGTTAACCCTACAAAAAGTTCTAAGGTAAACATGGCATAAAGCACATTTTCTCCTAAAACGAACCGTTTTAAAAAAAAAACTGTATATACACATAATTAAAGATTATTATTATTTGAAATAAAGTTAAGGTGAGTATACATAAAACAAGTTTTTCAATAGCTAAAGTCGTTGGATTGCATCTTCGTTAAAGAAAATACAGTTTTACAGCTATACAGCTAAACGAAGACGTGGACCTGCACAGACAATTTTCTGTCGTAGGCTGTAGTATCCATTACGAACTTCAAATATTAAATTTGAAATAATTCTGGTGAAAAATGTCCCTAAAATTATTAAAATACCGAATATCGGGAGGTATCGTTATATGGGGGCTTTACGAAGAGGTGGACCTGCACAGACAATTTTCTGTTTTAGGCTGTAGTATCCATTACGAACTTTTAATACCAAATTTGAAACAATTCCGGTGAAGAAATTCGCTAAAATCGTTAAAATACCGAATATCGGGAGGTACCGTTTTACGTGGACCTGCACAGACAATTTTCTGTCTTAGGCTGTAGTATCCATTACGAAGTTCAAATACCAAATTTGAAACAATTCCGGTGAAGAAATTGGCAAAAATCATCAAAATACCGAATATCGAGAGGTACAGTTATATGGGGGCTACACGAAGACGTGGACCTGCACGAACAATTTTCTGTCGTAGGCTGTAGTATCCTTTACGAACTTCAAATACCAAATTTAAAACTATTCCGGTGAAAAATGTCGCTAAAATTTTCAAAACACCGAATATCGGGAGTTACAGTTATATGGGGGCTATACCAAAACGTGGACCTACATTTTCTATACTAAAAGTCCTGCAGACATCACATATTTTTGAGATAAATTTTATCAATCAACTTCAATTCGTTCGGAAGCTAGAGTGATTTCCACAGACGGACTCCGACATAGAATTTTATGCTGATACTTTTCTTCTTGTGATACTTTTTCTTCGGCATGTCTTTCGGGCAAACTTTAAGGTGAGAGTACATAAGACTTTTTTGATTACCTTAAGTGATCGTCTGGCTTTTTCGTAGAGGAACAAAGGCGTTTTTAGGTTTATTTAGTTCGATTTTGTCCCAACCCACGGTAGAAGAATTCAGGAAGCTGCATCAATGCTTAGGAACATTGATATGTCAAAATTTCTAAAATGTTCTTTTCTTTTTCAAAAATAAGTAAATTTTTATGTTTTCTTATAAGGC